TAGGAAAATGGATGGTTGAGGGGTGTTGAACCCCTGACCCTAGTAATGGCCGGCCATACCCCTACCAACCAGGTTAGGCCATTGTTTTTTATAAGAAATAATAAATTTTTAATTTATAATATATGTATTAGGTGTTAACCTATTTTGTTAAAAAAAACCCTTGATTCGTGAACCAAGTGTACAAAACCCCCTCCCTCACCGTGTATCGCCCTTCCTCTACCGATCCACCCTCCTCTTCCTGACGGTGAACGTCATCGCCCATTCTTGTAAAGACGTCATCGTAAGCTAAGCAAATCTTTTTTGAAAATGAAATTTTTGAAAAGTAAGAAAGTGATTTCCAAAGTTTCTTACTTAGTAAGTCCTTCGGCCCATCAGTAAGTCTTTCGAGCATGATGATTAAATCCTTCGGGTAATCTATAAGTCTTTCGAGCAAGATGATAAGTCCTTCAGGCCATCCATAAGACCTTCGGGCAGGATGTTTTCAGTGATTTTCAAAAAATGAGAAAGCGATTTTCAAAATTTCTCATTCAAATCTTTTCTGAAAATGAAAATTTTGAAAAGTAAGAAAGCGATTTCTAAAGTTTCGTACTTAGTAAGTCCTTCGGGCCATCAATAAGTCTTTTGAGCATGATGATTAAATCCTTTGGGTCATCTATAAGCCTTTTGAGCAAGATGATAAGTCATTCAGCCCATCCATAAGACCCTTGGGCATAATGTTTTCAGTGATTTTCAAAAAATGAGAAAGCGATTTCCAAAGTTTCTCATTTAATCTTTTATGAAAAATGAAATTTTTGAAAGTAAGAAAGTGATTTTCAAGGTTTCTTACTTAGTAAGTCCTTTAAGCCATCAGTAAGCCTTTCGAGCATGATGATTAAATCCTTCAGGTCATCTGTAAGTCTTTCGAACAAGATGATTCGGGTATGATGTTTTCAGTGATTTTCAAAAAAATGAGAAAGCAATTTCCAAAGTTTCTCATTTAAATCTTTTCTGAAAATGAAATTTTGAAAAGTAAGAAAGTGATTTCCAAAGTTTCTTACTTAGTAAGTCATTTGGCCATCAGTAAGCCTTCCGTGCATGATGATTAAATCATTCGGGTCATTCATAAGTCTTTCGAGTAAGATGATAAGTCCTTCGGGCCATCCGTAAGACCTTCGGGTATGATGTTTTCACATGAATTTGAAAAATGGGATAGTGATTTTCAAAGTTTCCCATTTAATATTTTCAGAAAATGAAATTTTTGAAGAGTAATAAAGTGATTTCCAAAGTTTCTTACCCAGTAAACTAATTTTAAAATTGGTAAGTCCTTCGGGCCATCAATAAGTCTTTCAAGCATGATGATTAAATCCTTCGGGTCATCTGTAAGTCTTTCGATTGAGATGATAAGTCATTCGGGTCATCCGTAAGACCTTCGGGTAGGAGGTTTTCACATAATTTGAAAAATGGGAAAACGATTTTCTAAGTTTTTCATTTAATATTTTCAGAAAATGAAATTTTGAGGAGTAAGAAAGCGATTTCCAAAGTTTCTTACCTAATAAACTATTTCCAAAATTGGTCTGACATCTATGAGATTGGGGCAAGCCAAGTGAGAATATGTTCAGATCCGGAGGTTCAAATGACACTCGAGTCAAGGCAGATTTCCATATCCGGTTCGATCTTACTGAAAAGCAGCGAAATGAATCAAATTTTCCAGACCTAATTATCCAAAAAAGACTAACTTTTCGAATTCCTCATAACCAGAAAAATATGACCATGTTTTGGTCGTTGCTCTATTCTTGTTGCACAACAATGAGCAAAGAGGGGACCCCAACAATAATTATGCTTGTGGTTATATATATATATTGATGGGAATGTGTAACCATTACTTATATGCGTATAAATTTCTATATAATAAGTAATTAAGTAATCAAATATATATATACATTAATTTAAAATGTATTATTATTATTTTTTTTGTTATAGATCCAAAATAATTACAAACAATCCAACAAATGAACCCAGTTGAGGCCCAAGAAGTAGCAACCCAATGCAGATAGGGTTTTTAATCATTCCCAACGCCGCTCAACGTGCACCGTTGGATCTCTTGTGAGATCAACGGTCAGATTATGCTTGAGTTAGGGTTAGCCCTAAGATCAACCTGCTGCTGTAGCCTTGAAATGACAACCGTTGGATCTGTCTAACGATTCAATGGTCTGACTTTAACATGAGGAGATCAGGCATCCAAATCTCGTGCGTGAGATGCACACACATCATCCCAACAGTCTCCACGCAAGCATAACTAACCCCTGTTGTACCCGAGTACCTACAACAGTGCCCTGTGTCTCCCTGCCACATTTCTCGATAGTGGCAGATGACAGGGGCAACAAGCCTACAAAACACCAAAGAGGACGAGTGGCTTTCTCTAGGCCTCTAAATAGTCCACCTCAGTCATCAATAACTCGTCGCCCCGTACATGCAGTGAAAACAAACAAAAATTAAAATACGAGGAACACATGATATATAGAGACATCATTAGCAGTGACAGTGGAGATCAACAACCATTCGAAAAAACACAAAGGGGAAGCCATTTTTTGTTTTCATTCATCAACCACCAGAGAAATAATGAACACAAAAAATGAGAGAGGAGTCATTTTCTTCATAGAGAGTAACCAGAAAAGAGAGAATCCTGTAAAGAGTCTTTCCCTCTCCCCCAAAAAGGGCATCGTACCGAGAGTCTCCTGGTCCCCATTCGAAAGGAGATCATTTGTAACAGCCTACTCAGTCTCCATTAAAGAAAAGCATAACCATTATAATAGTTGATCCTCATACAAAAATAGAATACAAAGCAGAGCCTTTTTGAAGGTAAATAATGTTTTCTTTGTTCATTTTTTCTTTTATTCGAACCAAAGCAAATAAATAAAGATGATGTAGAGAGGAAGGTTATTTACCCTTTAGTCTTAGAGGCCATCCATTCGTGTTGCCGGAATCGAGAGATGAACAACTGGGTTTCTGTTTCGATTAGCCTAGGGGGTATTCATTTGGTTTTTCGGGTTCTAAGTTGAAAAAGGAATAGTCTTGTAGGGAGTTTAGGGGCTGTTTTTGGTCTTTTCAACGACGGTTTGGGGCATGCGTGAGTTTCATTTGAGTTGAGTTGTTGTCAGTTCGACTTTGGGTTCCACCGACCACCATTGTTAGTAATCGAAGTTCGAAGAATGGCCGATTTACGACGTGGGTAAACTCTTGGGGTTTTGGTCGAAGAAAAAGGTTAAGAGAGGTAGGAAAAGTAGCAAATTTGGGCTTCCTTAGGTCTCTTTCGTTCGCATTTGGAGGCGGTTGGAGTAAGGAGTGGTCGCCAAGTCGGTGGCCGACTTTCGGATAGGATGGTTGTGGGGAGCGACGCTGAATAGAACGGAGAGGGAGAAGAGTTAGAAGAATAAAAAACTAGGTATCGTTTTGTTTTAGTTTAGATTACAATCTATTTAGTTTAGGTTATTATAAAATGTTCAGGTAAATAACCTTTTCGTCCTCCTTATTCTCCCTTGTTTTTACAAAGAGGCCACATATTTTCTTTTTATTTATTGCGATTTGGACATATTGATTTCTTTCATTTTATTTTGGTCCATGTTTTATAACTTTTAGAATTCATGATCTTGCCATCAAGTTCTATGCGTGTTACACTTGAGTCATTAGGCTCAATTATCTTAAATTTTTATTAATCACACATTCGAGATGCTATTTTTGAGACTTTTATTTTAATCCTACACGTGTTTGGGGTTTATCCTAGTTCCAGTGCTCACAGTTTGGTTAAGTTGCATTTTAATCCCGCAGTGTATATATTTCATTTGTTTGTCATTTGGCATTGTGGTCCATTTTAAATATAAGTACATGCGAATGTATATACACATGGGTTTGTTTGTGCCTAAATTATCTAATTACATGTCATATATATGTATGTATGCATTTGCTTTCAAGATCCTATGAATGATGAATAGTCGGTATATATATGCGTGCATTGGTATGTTAGCATATATGTTGTGCATAATTTATGATGTATGTTTACATGTATATACGTACTATGCTATTTTTTTTATTTTTTTATTTAGCAATGGTAGTACGTATACAATGCATTCTTGTTTTTCAAATCCCCTTTATTATTTTAATTGGTATAAAACCATGTAGATTTTTTGCTAACTTATAATTTTAATCGCATGTAGCTTTAGCTTCTAAAATAGAATACCCTCATAAGCATGTCTAAAATAATACGTAAGGTTCACGCATATTAATTTATGAGATATGTACATGTATTCTTCAAATTAACTGTAAACATTTGTTCTAGCATATTGCGTGTTTACGTACGTTTGAGTATGCAATTGTTTCACTTCCAAGATTGCAGGACAGCATTTTTGCATCAGATGTATGATATCCTCACAAGCATATCTTCACTCGATTTAAATAATTCGACCAAGGGTAATACCCTTTCATTTTAAGGTCGTTGAGAAGTGACTATCTTAACTAATGAGAAAGTTACTTCCGACAATTTTAAAATGAAAATGTATCCCGTTAAGTGAAACACTAAATTTTGACTAGTCCTAAAAATTGGGAATGAGAGCACAAGAAATGTTCGTCTAATTAGATTCTTCGAGAAAATATCGTTAGAACTCATCTAAGGCCTGATCTAGATATCTTTAAATAATCGAATATTATTCATCTTTCTAAAAGGTGGTAATTTTTAATTTAATTTGTTTAATTTCGTGCATTTGAATATTGCAATGAAACCGTACTATTTCTGTAATATCCCAAATAACGGGTTAGTGACTAAATTGTAAAAATTTAGAAATTGGTGATTAAAGTAGAATAATTAAATAGTTTAAAAATAATTGTTAGTAAATATGAAATGAATTAAAGGACAAACTGGTCATTTGCAAGGAAAATTTATAATTAAGAATTTTGATGGGGTTATATTATAACCCACGTGGGGCTTGAGTAGGAAACAAATGTTTCCAGATTTTTCTCATCTCTTCTTCCTTCTTTCTTATCTTCTTCACTCTTCTCTTCTTCCAAACGTGAAGACCCAAGCTTAAGGTAAGAATCAGAACCTTGGTCGTTTCTTTGATTTTAGCTTGGAAATTGAAGTTTGGATGTTATATAAGCTAAAGGAAAGCTTATATGACATTAAGACAACAAGATAAGTGTTTTAGAGATAGATTTGGAAAATGGGTTTTTAGATGAAATTTTGATATGGATGAGTTTTTAAAGTTAGAATAAGATTTTTGACTTGTCAAGAAGTTAATTAAGGAATATGGAGTGTTAGAATTGGATTTAAAACATGTTGAAAATTGGGTATGATTTTTAGCTTTGAGAATTTGAATGAAGCATGGGAGATTTTAAAGTATTGGAATTGATAGAAGTTAATTAAAATGGTTGTAGTTAAGTTTGGTGGTATGAAAGGAACCTTGTCTGAGAAATTTAGTGAAGAGTTGATGAATTTCGGGTTTGAACAGTAAAATTTCAGATTATGCAGAGGGAACCGATACCCCCTGGGGGGAATCGATTCCCCCTAAAAGAAAATGTTGAAGTTTGGTTTATTAAATTAGTTTAAGTTGTTAGTATCAAATTACAAGGGTTAGGCTTCTGATAAATATCTTGAAAATTATGTTTATGTAGATATAAAACGTAATTCTATTCCGGAACAATCGAAGAGTTAGGATTGAAACAACGAAAGCGAGGCCAAGGTGAGTGCCTATTTTAAGGGTAGTACAATGGAATAAGACTTGTGATAAGTCTAATCCTATGTTGATTTTTATAGAACAATAGTTATGAATATGCATACATGATAATTATTATGATACATGCATAAGGTATATATGCTCATATGATTTGATAAATGATATGTGAATAAATTCAAATGTATATGTGATATGATAAGTGACATGAGCACATGAACATATGAAATATAAGAATGATGCCCATAGTATACGATATGAGAGCTATAGGTATAGTTGGCATGCTAAGAGTCGAGGGTTTCATAGGTCCTTCGGGACAACTCATAGGTCCTTCGGGACATATTCACAGGTCCTTCGGGACAAATTTCATATGCCACTCAGTGGGACTTATACGAGCTGTGGTGATAGTAATAGTGCACAACCTCAATGTACTCGAATACCTTGAGTTCTCAGTAATGTACATGGGCTTATAGAATGTTATCAAAGGTAATTGCATTATTATTGTTATATGTTATATCATTGAATGGATAGATCACATGTTCATATTTATAAGGAATACATCATCATTATATTTATATGCCGCACTAAGTCTATGACTTAGCGTGTAAGTGATTTACACGTAGGTACAGAAAAGTAAGAAGATCGATCTTAAGAGTAGCAACGCAGCATACCATCATTAGGGGATCAAATCAGAAGTAAACAACAAAGTATGTATTTTAGTTGTATAAAGTATGTTGGCATGTAATAAGTTGTTAGTTACGAATACTCTGATCGACTTTTCTAATGTTTTGAATGTAATTATGTAAGTGTATAGTAATGAACGGCTGAATTTTTACGAATTTTATATACATTTTTACGGCAGTACTGTAGCAGTACTGTAACAGTACTGTAGCAGGGGAATCGGTTCCCTGTAGCAGGGGAATCGATTCCCTATTTGTAAACTGGAAAATTTAACATTTCGGGTACTGTAGCAGGTTACTGTAGCAGGTTACTGTTCACGGTACTGTAGCAGATTATTGTTTATACATATTTTATTGTTCGCAAATACATTTTTTTTACCTCAAAATTTTATATTGAATATAATTTAATAATATATTATCTTATTTTCCTAAATAAGTTCAAATATTTTGTTATTTTATAAGGAAAATTATTTTAAAAAGGTAATGTCACATCTCGGACTCGTACTCGGGTCGGGTACGGGTTAGGGGTGTTATATTTAATGGTATCATAGTAAGGTTTAGTCGATTCTCGGCATAAACCGGAGTCTATAGTGTTTTATAATGTATACATGCCAACAAAATAGTGAAAACTTCTGATCTGATATGGTAATGAGTATGTTGTTTTGCTAATAGAATGATATGTTTATTTTTAATAGATGTCCGGACATGATAGTTCTCGAAGTCAAGCGGGAGATGATCAACCCGCTGAAAGTAGTAATTCACCTGCCCTGGCCAGGCAATGTGAAGAACAGACACCTTCTAGAGTGCCTGTAGCTGATCAAGATATGTTCTTTAGAACGTTAGATGCAGTATTGACGCGTTTCCAACCTCCTGTTACTTCAACTCCAAAAATGAATGTTGCAAAGGAGTTGAAGGGTTTAGGAGCTCCAGAGTTTAAAGGTGAAGCCGAGAAAGGTCCTGTTGCTGCGGACCTTTGGCTTAATGATGTGAAAATTATGTTAGAAGGACTCCACTGTTCTGATGTGGAGAAGTTGGACGGGGTGGTCTCTTTGCTTCGTGGGCAAGCGAGAATTTGGTGGACAAATGTCACTTTGAGGATGACCAGTGATCAAGTAACATGGTCTCTGTTCCTGGAAGAGTTTCGGCATAAGTATATAGGAGACCAATTCATCAAGCAAATGAAGCAAGAATTTTTAAATTTGAAACAAATGAATCGCACTGTATATGAGTATGAGTGCGAATTTAATAAGTTAAGTCGCTTTGCAGCAGAGTTGGTGCCTATAGAGAAAGATTCCTGTGAGTGGTTTGTTGAGGGCTTGCATCCAAGGCTAAAAGAAATGTTGATTGTATTGAATCTGTCCTCATTCCAAGAAGTAGTAAATCGTGCTAAAGCTCTAGAGAGAGCGCAGAATGAACGGTTTGGGGAGCAGAGAGCTCTACCATCCAAAAGAACTGGAGCTTCATCAAGCTCTACACTACCAAAGAGAGGTAGAGATTTTGGTTTTCGATATCAAACAAGATCTGAATCAGTGGCATCCTCTGCTAGAGGATTGAATCAGGAAAGAGCTAGACGAACTCAATCTGTGGGGACTGGTGATGGGCGAGCACAACAGAGTCAAGTTGGGCAGTGTCAGATCTGTGGAAGAAACCATAGTGGAATATGCAGAGTTAAAACAGGAGCTTGTTTTCGATGTGGGGAAACAGGACATTTTATGAGAGATTGTCCTTTGAGGGTAGAAGAGTCTGTTCCACAGGAGAGGTCTGCTTCAATGTCCCAGAGGGGACGGGGTAGAGGAAGAGTTAGAACTCAACATGAATCCTCTACTCAACAAGAAGTTCGCTCTACTGCTTGGGTGTATAATCTCAAAACCAATGAAGACTGGGATGATCCAGAGATAATAACATGTACCTTTTTACTGTTTGATAAACATGTTATGGTATTGATTGATCCGGGGTCTTCATACTCATACATTAGTAGCAAGTTAGTTAGAGAACTGAACATTCCGCTAGAAGCCACTAATAATGAAGTAATAGTGACAAATCCATTAGGGCATAGTGCTAGTGCGAATTTGGTATGTCGAGGATGTCCCATACGGATTCAAGAAATTGAATTCCCTGCTAATTTGATGGAATTACCCTTCGATGAATTTGAAGTGATACTGGGAATGAATTGGTTGTTTCGTTATTATGGGAATGTGGATTGTAGATTGAAAAGAGTAACGTTGAAAAGTCCGGAAGGGGTAGAAGTCGTGGTGTTTAGTGAAGGGTGGAATCCATTGGCAAATGTAATCTCCGCGATAACGACAAAGAAGTTACTGCTACAGGGATGTCAAGGGTTCATTGCTAATGTGTTGGATATTAGAACCAAGGAGAAAAGAATTAAAGAAATTCCTATAGTCATAGAGTTTCCCGATATATTTCCTGCAGAATTACCAGGTTTGCCTCCAAACAGAGAGGTAGAATTCCAGATTGAAATAATGCCTGGAACTGCGCCTATTACTATGGCTCCATACAGAATGGCTCCAAAAGAATTGCAAGAGTTAAAGATATAGTTAAAGGAGTTGTTAGATAAAGGATTTATAAGACCAAGTGTCTCACCGTGGGGAGCTCCAGTGTTGTTCGTCAAAAAGAAGGATGGATCAATGCGTCTTTGCATTGATTATAGACAGCTTAATAAGGTGACCATCAAGAACAAATATCCACTTCCCCGAATTGACGATCTGTTTGATCAATTAAAAAGAGCTTCAGTGTTCTCGAAAATTGATTTACGTTCTGGTTATCATCAATTAAAGATTCAAGACAAAGATATCCCAAAGACGGCATTTAGAACGAGATATGGTCACTATGAGTTTATTGTGATGCCGTTTGGAGTTACTAATGCACCAGCTGCTTTCATGGATCTCATGAACAGAATATTCCAACCCTATTTGGATCAATTTGTGGTGGTATTTATTGACGATATTCTCGTGTATTCAAAGTCCAAAGAAGAATATAGTTCACACTTAAAGAAGGTGTTACAGATTTTGAGAGAAAATAAGCTTTATGCCAAACTCTCCAAATGTGAATTCTGGTTGAAGGAAGTGACTTTCCTTGGACATGTGATTTCTGCAGAAGGAATTCGAGTGGATCCCCAAAAGATTAAAGCTATTTTAGAATGGGAAGTTCCAAAGAATGTGTCAGAAGTCCAGAGTTTTCTGGGGTTAGCTGGTTATTACCGAAGATTCGTTAAAAACTTTTCGATAATAGCATTACCCCTAACCAAGTTATTGAGGAAAGAGGTAAAATTTGCTTGGACTCCAGAATGTCAGGAAAGTTTTGAAAATTTAAAGAAGATTTTGACAGAAGCTCCTGTGTTGGTTCAACCTGAGTATGGCAAGAATTTTGTGGTTTATAGTGATGCGTCCCATAATGGCTTGGGATGTGTGTTGATGCAAGAAGGCAAAGTGGTGGCATATGCGTCAAGACAATTGAAGTCACATGAGAAAAAGTATCCAACGCATGATTTGGAGATGGCTGCAGTAGTATTTGCTCTTAAGATTTGGCGTCACTACTTGTATGGTGAAAGATGTTATTTATATACAGATCACAAGAGTTTAAAGTACTTGATGACTCAGAAAGAGTTGAATTTAAGACAGAGAAGATGGGTGGAATTTCTCAAGGATTATGATGTTGTGATCGATTTTCATCCGGGAAAAGCAAATGTGGTAGCGGATGCCTTAAGTCGAAAGACATTTGCAGTTCTACGAGCTATGGATGCTAGATTATCATTAAGTGAAGATAGTGCTATTTGTGCTGAATTGACTCTCAAGCCATCATGGCTAGATAGAATTAAAGAATTGCAAGCTAGGGATGAAAAGTGTTCAAAGAAGCTATAACAAATAAGGAATGGAGAGTGTATAGATTATGAGATGAAAGCTGATGGGAACCTATATTATCAAGGGAGGATAGTAATTCCAAATGATGATGAGTTAAAGAATGATGTATTAATGGAAGCTCACTGTAGTCCATTAACGATGCACCCAGGAGGAAACAAAATGTATATGGACCTCAAGAGTCGATATTGGTGGCCAGGAATGAAGAAAGACATTACAGAATTTGTGTCCAAATGTTTGACTTGTCAACAAGTCAAAGCTGAGCATCAGGTTCCGTCAGGATTATTGCAACCAATGACGATTCTTCAGTGGAAATGGGATAACATAACGATGGATTTTGTAACGGGATTACCTGTAACTCCAAACAAAAGAGATTCAATTTGGGTGATTGTAGATAGGTTGACTAAGTCAGCCCATTTTATTCTGGTACGAACTAATTTCTCCATGGATAAGTATGCTGAGTTGTACATCCAAGAGATTATACGGTTGCATGGTGTACCTGTTTCTATAGTTTCTGATCGAGATCCTCGATTTACTTCAAGATTTTGGAAGTCATTGCATGGAGCATTGGAACTCGATTAAATTTTAGCACATCGTTTCATCCTCAGACCGATGGACAATCCGAACGGACTATTCAAATTTTAGAGGACATGTTAAGAGCTTGTGTAATTGAATTCAAAGGATCATGGGAAAAATATTTGCCACTTGCTGAATTCGCTTACAACAACAGCTATCAGTCGAGTATTAAAATAGTTCCCTACGAAGCTCTTTACGGAAGAAAGTGTCGTACGCCTTTGAACTGGTACGAGCTCAAAGATAAAGAAGTGCTTGGTCCTGAGTTGATTCAGGAAGTAGAAGAAAAGGTCCAAATAATTCAGAGTAATCTAAAAGCTGCAGCAGACAGACAAAAATCATATGCAGATCTAAAAAGGAAAGAAATTGAGTTTCAAGTCAGAGATAAAGTGTTTTTAAAAGTGTCTCCATGGAAGAAGGTGTTGAGGTTTGGTCGAAAAGGAAAATTGAGTCCTCGGTTTATTGGACCATATGAGATTGTAAAGAGAGTAGGACCTGTAGCATATCAGCTAGCTTTACCACCTGAGATGGAAAAGATACATGATGTCTTTCACGTTTCAATGCTTCGAAGATATATATCTGATCCCTCTCATATCGTGACACCAGAAGAGATTGAGGTTCGACCTGACTTGACTTATGAGGAAGAACCTGTTCAAATATTCGCTCACGAAGTGAAACAACTAAGGAATAAGACTATTCCTTTGGTCAAAGTGCTATGGAGAAATCATAAAGTAAAAGAAGCAACGTGGGAACGTGAAGAAGATATGCGACATCAATACCCCCATTTGTTCGTGCAATGAAAATTCGAGGACGAATTTTCTTAAGGGGGAGAGATTTGTAATATCCCAAATAACGGGTTAGTGACTAAATTGTAAAAATTCAGAATTTGGTGATTAAAGTAGAATAATTAAATAGTTTAAAAATAATTGTTAGTAAATATGAAATGAATTAAAGGACAAACTGGTCATTTGCAAGGAAAATTTATAATTAAGAATTTTGATGGGGTTATATTATAACCCACGTAGGGCTTGAGTAGGAAACAAATGTTTCCAGATTTTTCTCATCTCTTCTTCCTTCTTTCTTATCTTCTTCACTCTTATCTTCTTCCAAACGTGAAGACCCAAGCTTAAGGTAAGAATCAGAACCTTGGTTGTTTCTTTGATTTTTAGCTTGGAAATTGAAGTTTGGATGTTATATAAGCTAAAGGAAAGCTTATATGACATTAAGACAACAAGATAAGTGTTTTAGAGATAGATTTGGAAAATGGGTTTTTAGATGAAATTTTGATATGAATGAGTTTTTGAAGTTAGAATAAGATTTTTGACTTGTCAAGAAGTTAATTAAGGAATATGGAGTGTTAGAATTGGATTTAAAACATGTTGAAAATTGGGTATGATTTTTAGCTTTGAGAATTTGAATGAAGCATGGGAGATTTTAAAGTATTGGAATTGATAGAAGTTAATTAAAATGGTTGTAGTTAAGTTTGGTGGTATGAAAGAAACCTTGTCTGAGAAATTTAGTGAAGAGTTGATGATCTTCGGGTTTGAACAGTAAAATTTCAGATTATGCAGAGGGAACCGATACCCCCTGGGGGGAATCGATTCCCCCTAAGAGAAAATGTTGAAGTTTGGTTTATTAAATTAGTTTAAGTTGTTAGTATCAAATTACAAGGGTTAGGCTTCTGATAAATATCTTGAAAATTATGTTTATGTAGATATAAAACGTAATTCTATTCCGGAAAAATCGAAGAGTTAGGATTGAAACAACAAAAGCGAGGCCAAGGTGAGTGCCTATTTTAAGGGTAGTACAATGGAATAAGACTTGTGATAAGTCTAATCCTATGTTGATTTTTATAGAACAATAGTTATGAACATGCATACATGATAATTATTATGATACATGCATAAGGTATATATGCTCATATGATTTGATAAATGATATATGTGAATAAATTCAAATGTATATGTGATATGATAAGTGACATGAGCACATGAACATATGAAATATAAGAATGATGCCCACAGTATACGATATGAGAGCTATAGGTATAGTTGGCATGCCAAGAGTTGAGGGTTTCATAGGTCTTTCGGGACAACTCATAGGTCCTTCGGGACAAATTCACAGGTTCTTCGGGACAAATTTCATATGCCACTCAGTGGGACTTATACGAGCTGTGGTGACAGCAATAGTGCACAACCTCAATGTACTTGAATACCTTGAGTTCTCAGTAATGTACATGGGCTTATAGAATGTTATCAAAGGTAATTGCATTATTATTGTTATATGTTATATCATTGAATGGATAGATCACATGTTCATATTTATAAGGAATACATCATCATTATATTTATATGCCTCACTAAGTCTATGACTTAGCGTGTAAGTGATTTACACGTAGGTACAGAAAAGTAAGAAGATCGATCTTAAGAGCAGCAACGCAGCATACCATCATTAGGGGATCAAATCAGAAGTAAACAACAAAGTATGTATTTTAGTTGTATAAAGTATGTTGGCATGTAATAAGTTGTTAGTTACGAATACTCTGATCGACTTTTCTAATGTTTTGAATGTAATTATGTAAGTGTATAGTAATGAACGGCTGAATTTTTACGAATTTTATATACATTTTTACGGCAGTACTGTAGCAGTACTGTAACAGTATTGTAGCAGGGGAATCGGTTCCTTGTAGCAGGGGAATCGATTCCCTATTTGTAAACTGGAAAATTTAACATTTCGGGTACTGTAGCAGGTTACTGTAGCAGGTTACTGTAGCAGATTATTGTTTATACGTATTTTATTGTTCGCAAATACATTTTTTTTACCTCAAAATTTTATACTGAATATAATTTAATAATATATTATCTTATTTTCCTAAAATAAGTTCAAATATTTTGTTATTTTATAAGGAAAATTATTTTAAAAGGTAATGTCACATCTCGGACTCGTACTCGGGTCGGGTACGGGTTAGGGGTGTTACAATTTCTTTATTTTGATTGGATTAGGAATTGATTGTCTCAAGGTACGAAAGGTCGTTTCTTCTTGATATGAAATAATTAAATATTGCTTGGTTTTGTTCTAACATTCACGAATGTTATTTTAAGGGATCTTAAATTAAATTTAAACTTGTAAATTTCATTGCAAAGACAAATAATTAATCGACTAGGTATTGATTTAGGGCGTTGTGGGAGTGTTAATCTTTCCCCACGCGTAACCGACTCTCGAACTTGAATTTTGGTAACACATACCTCAAATTTATTGTTTTAATTAAAATTAATAATTTTATTAAAATGACAAATATGTTTTTGGGTGCCCAATCACACACCCTAATCAAAAATTGGTAGCGACTCCTCAAACCGTATTTTATTTTTAAAAGGGAATCCCAAATTTTTCGAAGAGAGAGATTTTTTTTAAAATCACATTACTTTTAATTAAAAATTTATCATAATATAATTAAAAAATGTATTTTTTAATCCGAAAAAAATCGTTTCGACAAACGCTCCATCCATTGCACCAAACATCCCCAATGGTTTATTTATTACAACAAATTTTATTTATACTTTTAAAGCTTGATAATAGTAAAAGAAAATAGAAGTAAAAATAATTTAGAATTAATTTTATTGATATTGATTCAGGTTAATCTATTAACAAATTAATTACTGCTGATTATTAAAAATATTAATAAACAAACTTCTCTTTATTTGATGTAAAGTATTTAAAAATATTTTTTACATTTTTTTAATAATCTATTAATAAACTAACTTCTGTTTAAATTTTTTTATAATCAGTAGTAATTAATTTATTAATAAATTAATTTGAATCAAATATTAAAAAAATTAATTCTATTTTATTTTTACTTCTATTTTCTTTTACTTCTATTTTCTTTTATTATTATCAAGCTTTAGAAGAATAAATACAATTTGTTGTTAGTAATGTTCGGTGCAGTGGTTGAGGCTTTGTTACCTATCCATTTGGTCCAGGTTTAATACCACCCAACAGCAAATTTCATTCCCTTTATTTTTTATCCAATCTTGTGGTGACAGCAACACATGTCATGTTTATGTGCTGACACATGTTAGATCATGATTGAATGATTAATTTATTAAATTTAATTTAATTTATGGTCAAATTAAGAGAATAAATAAATATTGAGGACTAAATGTAAAAATATGCCAATTTTAACTGTCACATCATCATTTCCGTCAAATATTAACGGTTAGTGATATGATTGAACAACTTAAATAGTTAAGTGGCGTTGATTGACAAAATTAAAAGATCGGTGACAAAAGTAAAAAATCTAAATAGTTAAATAGTCAACTGAGTAGTTTACCCATAAAATAATTAACCATTTTTTTAACAATGGTAACTAGATCTTATTAATAATATAATGAATCAAAATTACAACGCGTTAGAATAAAAAGAGTTTATAATCGAACCAAATTAATCATAACTGAATTAATCGAACTTTTTTTTCTTAAACCGTTAACCGAACCGAATTTTTTTTCTAAAATATTAATCGAATCGAATAAATTTCGATCAATTTTCGAATTAACCGATTTTTTTTTAAATTTTCTAATTTATATAAAAATTAAATGTTTTTTAATTCAAAAAAAGTTTATAATTAATTTAAATAATATAATTATAAATAAAATTTCAGATAAATTTTTTAATTAATTAATATTGATTTAGGTTTAAAATTATTGGATCTTAAATTATTAATTGAGTTTTAAATGGTTTGGGCTTAGCCCATATATTATATATATATTTAATATTTTTTAATTAAAAAAACAGTTTACAATTAATTTAAATAATATATAATTATAAAAATAAAAATTTTATATAATTTTTTAATTAATTAATATTGATTTAGGTTTAAAAGTTATTGGATCTTAAATTATTAATTGGGTTTTAAATGGTTTGGGCTGAGCCCATATGTTATATATAATATATTTAATATTTAAAATTTAATTTCGGTTAATTCGATTAATTAACCGAATTCGAACCGAATTAACCGTTAACCGAATTTTAAAAATTTTCTTAACCGTTAACCGACCGAACTAATTCGATAACCGAACCAAATTAACCAAACTAATTTGATTCGGTTAGTTAACCGAATTAGTTCGATTATTTGAATACCACTTAAGCGTATGAAAAATCTGTCCCCTAAAGGCAAAGTCGACATTTGACTCATTTGTAGAAACTTATACCAAGTTGAATATTTCCAATTTATACGAAATTTATCATCTCATTCTCCTTTTCCTTAAAATGTTTTCGCGTGCTTCTCCATGATTTTATTTCATCTAAATTTATCCATTATTGAATCACGGCAATTTTAATTTCAGGATTTGATTTTGATAATTAATGTATTAAATTCTAAACTTGATAAGTTTAGCACGAGTGGTGATCTTCTCGTGAGAAACAAAGCGTGCTAAAATTGGATCATAAATCCATTAAATAATAATAATCAGTAGGGGAAAGGAATTTCAGATGTTAATTAAATAAATTTTGTTTTATTCTAAAAAAGTAAACATTATATATATCTTTTAAATCAGTATACTAACAGAGGTTATTTTTCTTGGAATCTAAACACTAACCAGAATACGCAAGCAAAATGACTCAGATAATATAACCTTGAGAAAAATAATTACAAAAAGAATCCACTCCGAGTATTATTTTTTAGATTAACAAGATTATTACAATACATAGAAGAAGACGCATAGTATTTCATACGGTTTCAGAATACTCGAGAAGTACAAGTCTTCACAAGACCCCAAGAGTGCGCATGAGAAATTGAAATACAAAGAAAGGATAAAGACGTATTACATTCTTGGGGTTTTCAATTGAATACTTATTGTACTCCTAAAACCTTCTAAAGGCGTATGAAACATAACGAATTTCTCTTTTATACTGTAACAATCACTATAATCTAAGAAATAAAGCTCAAGGTGAATTATTTTGGTAAAAAACTCAAAGACATTATTTCAACCATTTTATTATAATACACAATATAGCATTGGTCTTGAGATAAAATATTTTAAGAAAAGAAATTATTAATTAATATAAAAGACAAAATTAGAATAATATTTATTTAACTAATATGATTTCAGATTTTTTCAAAATTGTCATCTCAGGCTCTATACCCGAGCTCCGAACCCTTTTAAGTGGGGGTGAATGCCACACATTCGTGTGAATTTATTTACCGCATATGCCTAGCAAGTAGCCTTCGGGATTCATATACCTTATGTCTTCGTGTGAATTTATTCACCGTGCGGGCATAAGGGAATGTGTCCCCTCGAGTTTAACTTAGTCCACACAAGCCTGTGATGGGTTTAGGACTAAGGGTCTGGTAAGCCCAAGGGGGCACCGGCAAGGAGAACTCGAGTACCGTTTTTTAGAACCTAAACCGGGAGGGTACAGGGAATTAGAGCCCACCCCAAAACCTCATTCCAAACCCTAGGCTGTTTTATTTCCTACTTTATTTTCTGTTCAAAGCATGCGAACTAGACAAACATGTGGTTAGGTTTTGTTTGAAATTAGCATGCGGGATAGAGATCATGTCCGGGTAGGAATAATAAGCATGTGGGGTAGATATCATGTGGGGTAGTATTTTTCATTTTTATTATTGTTTTGATTTACCTAACTAACCCTTTTATTTTTTGTTCTCTTTTATTTTGTGTTCATCGTTTGCATCATTTAAAACGATGTGTTGATCCACCAAAAATGTGTTTGTTAAACATGAATAATCTGCATTAATGGACAAATGGGTTATAATACAAAGAGATAAAAAAACTCAGAAGTCCAACCGTGGTCAAAGAATACTCAAAGGCAAAGTTGCAGGGGCAATACGAGGAAAAGGTCACTGACCCGGTCGCTCCTTTCGAAAACTACAAGAACCAGATGGTGAAACACTAGCTGAGCTGGATGCCATTATTGACGAATTCAAGAAGCAAGCTTCGGATAGTTTCTCTCGATGGAGGGCTCCAATGACACTTTCGTTAGAAACAAGCTCGGTAGAAAGTGAAAGTCAGAGATGCAGTCCTTCGAGATCTTTTTTTGGGGCAAGCATCTCATTATTTGCACATTTTAGCCAAAGGAGCCGGAATGGTTCGACAGGATATTCAACTAGTGAAAAAGACGAATCAACTTGTCAGAAGCTGTACATGATTTGTACCATCAAAAAGAGTTTTTTGTCTCTTCAGACGTAACACTTTTGTCACCAATAAGGGTTATTCAGAATAACAGGCACATTTTTTGGATCAATGCCTCGGACATTTCATGCATCATATATTTAGACATTTTGCATTTCTTATTTTCTTTGCATTTTTTTTATTTTCTTTGCATTCACATTAACTAATATAAACATGTCTCATCAAGGGGAACAAATATTGGATACACCGCCTCAAGCATTGGACACACCCCATCCACATAACACTCGTTTGAAGAAGAAGAGGATGGAAGCCAGAATTACACAAATCGAGGAGAATATGTTAAAACTACAGAAAGAACTAGAAGACAAGATA